TACTTTTCCAATTTTTTTTTTCCTCTTCCAACAGCTCTTTCATTTTTTTGTAACCTTTGATTGTCGTCATTAGTTTGGATCATACGGGAACAATTGCTGTATATGATGCAGGAATAAATTGATTATTCAACAGATAAATTTTGAAACTTGATAATAATTATTTTTAAATATTGTATGTAATCGGCAATCTGAGCAATTTCGTTCTTTTACACAGGGCAACGAACCCGCTCTCCGACATATAAACACTATCATTGTTTGTGTGTTGGTTCCTAATCTTAGAGTTTCCTCGGTACAATTGCTGTACATGGTGCAGAAATTAACTGATTATTCAACTGATAAATTTTGAAACTTAGTAATTATTTTAAGAATTGTATATAATCCGCAATCTGAGCAATTTCGTTCTTTTACACAGGGCAACGAAACCGCCCTCCGACATATAAACACTATCATTGTTTGTGTGTTGGTTCCTAATCGTAGAGTTTCCTCGGTAGTCTCGGTACAGATAATATTCTTAGCCGATTGTTACCACCACCAATTAACCGGGGTTATACTCAAAGAAAGGGAAGTCGTAGTACAACAAAAATTTCTGATCCAGATGATATTCCTCTAAGTCCAACAGATTGTTATCTCAAATCTTGATTTCATTTGTGTCTCTGACCTTTAATAAATAATTATTTTCTAATAATACTATTTTTTGTAATAATGTTCTTAAATATATCTAGAAAGTTAATTTGAGATATTACAGTACCATTTACTCGTAAATCTCTAGGAAGTTTAACTTTCAACCAAATTAACATTCATGATTTCTTTAGCTTTCTTAAAAACCAAGATCTCTAATTTGTAAGTTTTGTTTGTTATATATCCAAATTATTCATTGTTATTATTTGAATAACGTGAAATGAATGCACTAAAAATGTATCCAATAGTTTCTATGAATTAAAAAATCTATTTTATAATAATAAACTTATTCTAGAAAGATACTGGAGTTTAAATTTCGAATTAGTAATTTCATACTTCACTAATAAAACTGCTTTTTTGGAATATCTTTACACTTAATTAAGGAATTTTTTATTTTTTGAGCTTAAGGTAGGACCTCTGAGTACCGTACTAGTCAAATTACTGCGCGAGTTCGAGTTTGACTTCGGCAGCAGTGTCGATAATGCAGACGACGTGTGTACCCGCATCAGTGCGTAAACACGTACGTCTGCTAATGTGACAGAGTAGTTATTTTTTAGTAGTAATTTTACTGTTCGTTATTTTTGTCAGTAAAGTATTTTTGAAATAATGAATGAACATCAAAAAGATTCTGCAAACAAACTATCCAGGCACTCGTTACGTCAAATTCTCATCGATGCCTATAATAAGGATATACAATGTGGAATCAAAATTTTACTATCAACGAGCATTAATCGTAAAGTACGAGTAACGTCTTCC